CGAGGCTCAGCTGGCTGCGACGGCTTTTTATTTATGCGCGCGGCGTTGTTACTCGGCAGTAATAACTTTGTTAGAGCGCATATTGTATACGCGCGACTGCGCTTTTCGACAGTCCTACACGCGCTGCTACACGTATGTACTGCCAATCGCTGGAAAATTTTGTCCGCTTACCGCGCGGATATATTTCGCGAGACAGGATCTTTTAGTGAGTGTTTTGACGAGCAATTTTGTTTTTTTCTTGTTTTTACGAAATCTACAGATAGATTTTACCTTGAAATTTTGATCGAGCGTCACTATAGACTTTCATTGAATTCAATCGAAAAATTGGTTCTGCTTTCATTGCCCTTCGCTACTTTTTTCCGAACGTTTACCAAAATGATAAATCGTGGATGCTTGCAGCAAGGCTGCCTCGAGTGCTATTAATTGTTTTCAGCGCTGATTGTTCATAAGTGAAATTAAAGAACCGATAACAATTTCTAGGTGTTATTTATTTTTATATTTATAACAAAAACAGAATTTTAATTTGAATTATAATCAAATTGACAGCTGGACATAATTGTTGTTTTTTATTTAATTTTTTTTTCATGATGGAACGGACATAAATAACGTTTTAAAAATGTTTATTCACACTATGCGCAATGACACTTGTCAACGGTCATTGTTTGAAGCTGCTAGGATCTGTAATTTAAATGTAAACCATTGAAGAAAAACCATAATGAATTATCTTCGTTAGCTGTATATCTATAGAAGTACATAAGGCTACCTTATTAAGAGAGCTATAATTATTTTACTTATTGAGTCGTCAAGTTGTTAAGAAATGAAGAACAAAAGGTTCCCAAACTAATAGTTTATCGTCGGGAAAGTGAATTATTGTTTCGTTATCGTGATAAACTTGCAGTTATGTCTTTGCAGGTACTTGTGTCGTCATCGCTTGGCATCGGATTCGCTGGTCGTTAAATTTTCAATTTCAACAAAGGTATTCGGAATTATCGCGGCTATCGTCTGAATCGTGTCATTTTTCAGAATAACGATATATCATCATCATTATCATTTGTACTTTGCCTTCGCAACATGTAAAATGGATTTCGGCGCTTCTGGTGGTGTATTATTAGAAATTTAGTATATAGCTACATGTTGAGTCAAAGAAACACACGTCATCGTCAACGGTGAATTGATAAAAATACGTATGCAATTTTTCGCTGGTGTTTTTGATGATATATTTTTCCATCTTCTCTTTTTTCGGTTGATCTTTCGCCAGATGTTGCTGTTGCTGATTTTGACTCAGCGCGGATAGTGGGCACCCTACTCGCGCATTTACCGAGTCTCGCATTCCCTTAAGATCAATATTGATACAAACTGAATCACTATAACAACGGTTTTCAAAGTGATAAAAGTTTCGATTGCGCGCATAAAGCACGTATCAATAATAAATATCAAATTCATTGAATTACGCATAGAGCGCTGATTTCTCGCGAGCCGCATTCGAACAGAACGACCTCGCAGACGTGCAGCGGCGTAAGATCGATCGAATAGCGATAGTCAACGTGGGCAGCGTCCAAAAGAGCCGTATGAATAAGCTTCGCGCTCACGGGGGTTGCATTGTCGCCGGTGCACACTCGTCGAGGATACACTTAGCCAAATTGAACTTAAGAAAATGAAGACCTCTATAAACCTTGCGCGCGTGACGAGGAGTATCAGTGCGCACCCAATTCAGATTACTATCGGCTCCCTTATTGCGCGTTTCCTTTATCGACGCCCAGTCGATTAAGGCGATTATTCTCAATTCGCAAAGACTATTTAATCGAGGCGCGCGCGCCTGCCCGCTGTTACTCAAGACCTTGCGAGAAATGCTAATCCCCGATATATAATAAGACCCGTAGGCGTGCTCTTGCATTCGATTTCACATCTGGAGCGTGAACTTGTTCGTTGCTTGCACGGTGCCCGCTCGAAGGCGTTTGCGTTCGTTAGTAAGGAGGCTCTTCGAAATTGATTATCGATTCGATTGCATTTTAGACATTTCATCCACAATCCAAAATCGGCATTCACTGCAACTGTTAAAATATTTGATTAGCGATAACTATGGCACGCTAAAAACTATATACGTACCAACGGACGAGACAAAAGCCACGGGCGTCGGAGTTGCCCAATAAATAAATTGACCGCCATACATAAGCCAACGTCAACATAAACTCATACTGGTCTCATGGTCCGCGAAAGCTGCACAGCCACATTGTCGATTCTCCCCTCGTTCGTGTATACAAATACGGCGTGTTACGCGAGTGCTGCAACAGCGATGTTGTCAGTGTGATCGCTGGAAACTTGTAGCGTATGAATATCTAATGCGCCCCCCCCCTTCTCTATCTCTTTCTCTCCCTCTCCACAATTAAATTCAGACAATATGTTTTTGTTTCGGGGCGGCCACCCTCCACTCGGTGATGATATCATTCCCGGGGGCGACTTTGATATTATTCAGTATAACGCCAGAGCACACACGCGTGCAGAGGTGCGCGCGCGCAAAAAGAAAAAAAAAAAACTCGCTCTGTCTGTTAAATCAAATCCGCTGCGGCTTTCGAGCTCACGCACACGTAGATACGCGACATATTGTGCGCGCAAGGATTATGGTTGCTGATGCGTTTTCAAAACGACCTATATATTCCCTTCTAACAGTCTCTTCGCACATTCTATTGCTTTATGCGTACTTTTTTATCTGTCTACGTTTTGTTGCTGTTGTTTCTTTTTTTTATTTCGATTCGCATTTGTTGCATAATGCATACAGGCTCTTGGCTCTCTTTTTTTGTAAGTGCGATTTAGCTATTTTTTTTGCACACTCTCGCGAATGAGAGGCTGCATGCATGCATAATTAAATGTATGTCGTGACCTAATAGGATTATATTGATTGTCGTTACTTATGAATTTTCAAGTGTTAGTATTCACGATTTATTAGCGGCTTATATGATAAATATTCAATAAATACTTCGTTGCATTAACCGTCCTACACGAAAAGTTGAAGGAAAGTGTGCATTGAAAACGTCGGAGAACGCACGCGTGTATACACGAGTTGAACTTTTCATCGCTATCATATGCAATATTATATTCCTGAAAATGTAACTCCGGTGTACGGCAGCAAAATTGTATGACTTTTCGAGAGAGAGAGAGAGAGAGAGAGAGAGAGAGAGAGAGAGAGAGAGAGAGAGAGAGAGAGGAAGGGGGTGGGACGCCGGTGAGATGCATGCACAGCAATAGGGCTATTCACGTATTATGTACGCAGCTAGGCATCGCAACAGCAATTTCCGCGACACTTCCTTGTGCGCTTTTTGCAGCTTCAATGTATAAGTTGTTGGATCGAAATGAAGATTTAGAAACGCGGTTTAGCTCTAACGAGAATACAAGGGTTGGCGAGACGAGACCGATCAAACTCGTTTTCCAAAGGCGTGCTTCCTTGCCGTTTCGCACCCGCACGTCATTGTCGCGCGGAGGACGCTGCTGTTTTTTCGTGGCCTCCTCGCACAACACACGAATCTCGCGAGGCTGCCGCGACAGGAAAGTGGGTACAATACGGGGATACACAGAGCTCCCCGGTGTCGCGGCGGCCGGGGGGGGGGCGGAGGAGAGAAAGAAATGGCGGACATTGTGTTTGCAGCTCGCGCGCAATAGTGGAAGTCACTTGCCTTAAGACTCGCCGTGGCACATTCTTAGGCTCCGCTCTTACGGATTCCGCTCTTTTCTGCGCGCGCCGCGCGCCACGGCCGAGCTGTGCACCTCCTTTCTTACCGTCCCATTCTTCGAGGTTGCGAGGCTCTCCTTTCACCTTGCCTTCCCTTTTCTTCCCTCTCCTTTTCTCCGCGGCAAAGACCCTTTTCTTCCGCAGCGGCAGCTTTTCTGCGCCCAGCCAGCGAGCTTTTTCGCGCGAGTAATGGCTTTGCATTTTTATGTGTGCCGCTGACAGTTTTCCACGATTGTCAGCGAACACGACCCACCCCACCCGCTCCCCCCTCCACGTCCGCCACGCGACGGCGGCGGCGGCAGCAGCAGCAGCAGTCTCTCTTGTCATTAGCATAATGCTTAAAGCTCATTATAATTATGCTACCTCTCGCGCGGCAGAGAGACGCACGACATCGTTTCCAAAATAACGTCGAGAATAAAGACCGCGGTAGCGAGCTTTAGCAAACGTCGCCATTATGCGTAATTCGTTATTTACGCTTGTGACAAATGGAGATTGTACGCTTTGTACGGAGATTCTTGAATTGATCGTTTCATTGTCATCGGTCGTAGCTTCGTTATCTCAGTGGCTTGCAAGACAGCGACGGTGTCATTGTTTCCGACGAAAGCTGAATGGGATTCGCGCGAATATTACGGCAGATCGATTAGCTCTCGGTGATCAGAAACCGCAGTATTTTCCGTTGGTAATCCGCGCAAATCGCCAAAACCGATAAAGTAGCCAGAGGCAGCGCGTCCGGGAAAAGGCGCGCGGCGTCGCGCAACCCTCGGGCGCGCTCGCACAATGTCATTTAATTTGGCGGCGCATTACGTAATCCAGCGGCAGGCGTTCGCGGCTTCATTTTTAGCTCTCGCGCACCGTTCACATTCATTTGCCAAGGGCGCGTGCTCGCTGCCCGCCTTCACAATACAATCTTAACTACAATTAAATTTGCCCTTATTTACCGAGAACCATTCTCCCGCTCGCTTGCCGCCAGTTCTGCCTGGCTCTCGCATGCACACAGGCATCGCACGCACACACCTCCGCGCACAATCTCTCTCTCTCTTTCTCTCGCTTCCTCCCCACTACCTCGCGGCAAACTCGCGCTCGAGAAGCTCCAGCCAATGGCCGTTCACTCCGCCTCTGCTCGACGTCCAATTGGTTTGCTCCGAGCTTTGTTCGTTGGTGGGGAGCGCTGACTAGGTAGATAGAGAGAGAGAGAGAGAGAGTGAGAGAGAGCACACACCTCGCGCGGGGACCAGGATCCATCCGCCAGACTACTCACTCACGGCTGTGACGCGCGCGCAGAGTCTTCTCACTCACTCTCTCTTTCGCTTTGACGCGCGTGCCGATCACACACACACACACACACACACACTCACATACACACACACGCACGCACACAGTCACACGCGCCCACACACTGGTGGTGTATTAAACAATAAACAATTATCGAGCAATTAGGCTCGTGCAAGTGCGCGTATTATGCTTGATGACTGATCCGAAGTGATGCGTCATTGTTTAGCGGGTGTTCTGTTGTGAGGATACACGTACTGTAACGTCGTGGTGCCTTCGTCTGCGTGCAGTTAAGACGGCCGAGCGAGAGCCTCCTTGGTTCGTTTGTTTTTCTCACCCACGTTCCTCGACCATCGGCCGCCGATACCGAGAGGGATACCGCTGCAGCGCTGCCGAGACGAAAGTCTCAATCACGGCATCACGATTGAGCTGGATTTGCACCAACGAGCCGCCGGCCACTTCATGAGGTGAGGTTCGCGCACGGGTCGCTTGTTTTGCCATCGCTCGCACGTCGCGCAGCTTAGCCCGCGCTCTGTGATACCATCGCGCAGAGGGTCCAGGCGCGACGCTCAAGCGAAAGGTGTCGCGCTTTCGTTGGTTGTTTTGCTGCGTTAAGCTCCACTGGAAGCGCCAATAGCTGCCAATGTTTTGCGAAACGAACAAGACCACGTGTTTAAGACTTCGCTAATGCGGGTCAACCAAATGTAAATGATTGTACTTTGATTATCGCTGCGGAACACTCATATGTATACTGCCGTATGAGTACTCTTGCAGCTATCAATTACATGATTATCCAATCAGGACTAACTATGACAATATGGTGTGTAATTTAATTTTATAAATTCAAATCGATCGAGTTACGCGCGTATCGTAACGCATATCGTACTACTCGCACGCGCTTATCTATATTTAACAAGCGTAGTGACAAAACACAGCATCAATCGTATTTATCCCATCCGAAAGCGAAAAAAAAAATGCACGCGTGCCAAAGAGTTAAAACGAGCCGCGAACATTTAAATAATAATACAAAAAGCTGCAATAAACCGGACATGAATATGAATGAAAGGAAATTTCGTCACGGTATACACGAGAGAGAGGCAGGTGAGCGTTAAAAATGCGGTACGGCGTGCGTTCGCGCGCGAGAAAGAGAGAGAGTCGAGACTCCAATTAGAGTCGAGTTTATGGGCATCGCCGCCGTGGCACGCCGTGACGCGCGACAAATCGCGAGCGCGGGAGTAGGGGATATAAATAAAAGGAGCACCCGCTTGACATTAGCACCATGCGCCGTAGCTATATGATGCCAGTTTTATATCGCTAAGGGGGGGGGGGGAGGCATTTCAAGGGTTATCAATGAGCCAAGCACTTTGAATTATAATCGAACAATTTAAAATCTACTGGGATCGGTTTAACGTAGAGGATAAATTAAGCATTCAATAGCGCGATTGCACTTTCATCGAATGTACGATTGTGCTTTGGACACGTGTACCTTGATAAGAGCGTTGTGTGATAAGTTATATAATTTGTTGTTACACCGCGTCGCCAATGATCAAACGCGTCAGCTTAAATTGCAGATAGTCGCGCAGTTACGTACTGCGCCGATTTGTTATGATTGCAAGCACTCGCACGCGCGTGGAGTCAAGACTCGGCTCTCGCCACGCAAAAGTAAACATCGGATAATAAACCCGTTGATAAAATTCCCGAGCTGCGATATTAGCTTATGAAAACAAGAATACGATCGCGCCAGGGCAGCGCCATTCGCGGGACCGAAGTCGTCCGTAAAAGCCTGAGGACTCGATGGAAAATTTACGAGTATTGTCTCTGTTTGCCAATGGCAAATAGCCCACAGCAGACCCTTTTCTCTCGCTCGCTCGGTAGCCTGTCGAAAAGACCACTTTCAATTCAATGTTTTCTACCGACTGCGCTGCTGCTGCTGCTGCTGCTCAGTATCCGACGGATGAATGACTTTGGCATTTCAGTGCGCTCGTCTCTTTCCGCCTAGTTAGCAATCTTCACTCTCTATAACATTTACTTGTGCAATCGGAACTGATAAAACAGTGTTGCGCCCGTAATTTTTCGACGAAGAGACGAATAAATTTCGAGGGATATCGTTGCATTAATGGAAAACGAATGACCGCATGGTAGCTAAGTTAGTTGGTATCTTGTATATGCTAATCATCCGTATGTAAATTAGTAATCGGCGATAAAAAAGGAGGAATATGGGGATATTCACCTGTTCTACCAGTTTTTATCGAATAGACATTTAAGCTCGCGTCAAACGTATGGAAATAAAAGGCTGAAAAATTGATCGAGCTTCTTACTTTTTTTCGTGCATTTCGGCAAAATCGATTCAACGCAGATAGCGATGCAGCTTTATAAACGTAAAAAATGAAGGAAATACCCCGTATTTCGTACTCCGTTTGATAATTCGACGGCTTACGCGAAAGAAAGTAAGAAAAAGAGCTGGCAAAAATAACAAATTAATTAAGATGAGGTTCCTTTTTCGCTGGCATCATTGAAATTCAACTCCGCAGTGGCGCGACGCGTCGCGATCAAAATTATCGCGCTCGCAAATCCAAGGGGATTAACGGATAATCGAGCATTGTCATGCAAAGCCCGTCCCTCTGCCCTTGCGCGGCGCCTAGCCGCGCACACAAGCGGGGCGAGACAAACAATCAATTAGCGGCGAGCGCAAAATGAGATCGTCCCGCGCGCGAGGCGAGCTTAGAAATTCACTCGTTTGCGGCTCGATAAATCTTAGTGTATTTCGTAATTAAGCGCCACGCGCGAACGTTTCCATGGTAGTTTCGTGGTAGCCTTGAGGCTGATCATTTGAAACGAGGTTATCGAAAGGTTTTACAACAATATTGAACAGCCGGCTCTGAGGAGATTAATACCGACTGTCAAAATTAAAACATTTCGAATTTCATATTCAGCGATAGCGTCATCTTAGAATTTGAATTGTAATTAATAACATTCGCTGCGAGCCGTCGAGAGAGCGATAATTTCCAATCTAGTGCGTTTACAAGCAACCGCCAAGCACAAGTACAAGCATATAGAACCCCAGATACGGAATCCGCGGGGCGAATCTAAACATTCAATTAGCACTTCCTAATCCCCCTCGTTGTCAACAGCCATTACTTCCAGCATCTTTTACTGAATCTCGGGCTCCGACTCTCTCTCTCTCTCTCTCTCATCCCCCGTATATATCTGTTAATCCCCCTGAATGATACTCGAGGGTGGGGTGCAACCCCCTCGCACACGCGAAATATCGTAACTGCGACATTCTCTCTTTCTTTTCGCTTTTATTCCCTGAGCGCTACTGCAGGTTTTCGATACATATATATAGCTATTCTCTTTTTTTGGCTTTTCGTCGGACGTTTTTTTTTTTCGTTATATTCGACGGGAACACTCGCCGCTTCGATGATGGCAATGTTTTGTGTACAGTAATGCTTCAATTATATGAGTGTTATGAACTTTTATGATATTTTGAACCGGGTTTGCTGATCTAGACATCGTATGCTAAAAACGCTTTCAATGTTGTAATCGCATCATTTACGAAAGTAACAAATGTAAGCTCATAAAGTAAATTACAATTCAAACTCAAATGGAACCCTAAAAACTTGAAGCAATCGTTAAAAAAATTATTAATAAATCTCAGACAGCATTTTAAATCACAAAGAAAACTGAAGAGAACAAACAATCAGCCCATCACCAGGGCTAGAATCGAATATCTAACGCGGCGAATCTGAAGAAGCACATCGTGATCTGCCCCCTCTTAGTAGCATTGAAAAGCAAATCTGCGGTGCAAGCTCCCACAGGCCTCCTTCACGTTTATTTTAACGAAGGCTCAAGTAGCGCCGTAGCATAATTGCGTTAGTTCGAGTACGCCAAGGGGAGGTTGACATTGTCGATTTGGGGGGGGGGGGGGGAGAACTTGGCAGCGAATCAGTTAATGGTCGTAAGATTCATTTTAAAGTTTCGCCCGCGATAGAATCAAAGGGCACGCGCTTGTCGGGCGCGCATATGTATAAGCAATTACGAGCGTGCACGCGCGCGCAGATCTGCAGTCACCGAACGAGCGGCGCGTGCCTCTTGCGCGCTTTATTTAATGCCGCTACATTTTTCGAGTGATCTCCTCGCCTGCAGCCGCACGAGGAGTGTCTCATTTCTCCGCGAATTATATCCAACGTAAATCATCCGTTTTGCCTTCTTCTTTCGTTTTTACTTAACGCTTAATCTACATTTAACGGCGCAGCTGTTTCGCGCGTGCGCGCACACGTACCCCGTTAATGAATATTTATTCGAGTTTAATTTTCACGCGAGCGAATGTAAAACATTTCGAGAGAGAGAGAGAGAGAGAGAGAGAGAGAAAGAGGGGTAATTGTCGTTAATTATCAGAATGAATTTTCGTCGCGTATGGGTAAACTATTTTCGGGAGCCACGCTAATTATCGGTTCTGTCCTAAAAACTCACGGTAAACTCGGCTTTCCTTTCGCCTCGCTCCGCGACAAATTACAGCGGATAATTGCTCTAGCAAATTCTGATATTTTTCGTGCACGTTTGTAGCGCCTCTTCTAGCGGGATGTGTATATATTATCCCTCCGGGCTCAAATATTTGACGACAAGTTTGAATTGTTCAAGAAAAAAAAATTTTTCGTCACACACGCGACCTAACGTCCACCCATATGATAACGCGTGTCTTTCACACGCATTAGCATACTCGTCTAAATGCGTCTCTCCGGACTTGTACAGCAGAGGACAGGGCCTTTCTCGTCGTCGCAGACTATTGTCACTTGAAAAAAAAAAAAAAAAAAAGAAGAAGACTTCGGATATCGGCATATCGCTCTCCCGGTCGAATTTTCCTCTCTCTCTCTCTACCTATATTTCGTCTCTGGCGCTGACGTTTGAGAATCCGCCTCGTTCTTCAGTTTGGCATCTGCTGAAACTAATCTCGATATCGAAAGGGGGATTAATTAACTTGGCCAAGGCGTGCAGCTTCGATTTCTCGCGAAGGCGTTGGCTCTGTACTTGCTCGACGCGTGCGTGCGTATAAATGCCTGCGAGACGACGTGACAGTTATTTATGCGTTTATTTTACTGACGGATTTATGGCGCGAGTGAAGCTGGTGGGACGCCAGCGAGTGAAAGCGCTAAGTAGGCTCGCGCGGGCTTGTTACAACAAGATCGGTTTCGTTTTTATTTGCCTATTCTACCGTCCACGTGGTCTCTGGATGGATTATCTCGCGTAATATCCGATTGGTCCTCGCGAATTTGGATTCCGATTGGAAATTCGCTCGCTTGAATCGCGCGTACGCGGTGACTTTGGTCACCGCGCTGCGCGCACTGGCCGAATAATCATTTCGAAAGCGTAGCTCTATCAAACTGTAATAATATCATACATCTGCGGATAGGATTATAAACTATAAGACATTCTTCTCAAGCGTTATTGTTGAAACGATTCGATTGTCCAACCAAAAAGACTGATACAATAGCGAGCGCACATCCGTCAGAAAAGGGAATTGGAGAGCAGCTGTAAAGAAATCGAAATATGCTTTCAGAGCCGGCGGCAACATGTGCGACGGCTCGTTCCAGGAGACGTTGCGCGGCATGCAGGGCATGTCGGGTGCCTCGCCGCCGGGAGGAGCAGCCGTCGGCCCGATGGTCGGTTCGGTGGCGGGCCTCGGCGCAAGCTTAGGCAACGCCGTCGCCGCGGCCGCGGCGGCCGGCAAGCGCAGCCAAGTCGATCACATCAAGAGGCCCATGAACGCCTTTATGGTTTGGTCGCGCTCGCAGCGCAAGAAAATCGCCCACGAGAATCCCAAGATGCACAACTCCGAGATCAGCAAGAGGCTCGGTGAGTTCTTCTTTCCATCTCCGCGTTTCTGTACGTACACGGCGACAAAGGGGCACGGTGTTGGAACTCTTTTGTGCGATACGCCGAGAGTGCCTACGGGGCTTCTCTCTTATGCGCGCGTACAGCTACGTGCTTTTCTTTTTCAGCATTCTTATGCAGTTTGGCTTTTGTGTCCCGCACCTTTTTACACACTGCTGCCTGTGCGTGTGCACGAGGCTGCAGTGGTGCTCATGAGTCGGTCTTCTTTTTTTCTTTTTTTTTTTTTTTTAAACTCCCTCTCTCCCTCTCGAGCGCGCGTCAAACAGCGTACAATCGTTATTATCAAAGCTTTGTTTCGGCGCGCACGAGCAAAGTGCTGCTTTTTCTTTTCGTTTAATTAAAAACATTCTTCCGAGCTTGCCTTCGATGAAAAAAATATTGCCACAAATCGCACAATACATCCGTAGCACGTGTACGTCTTTGAGGATATATATTTTCGTGTTCTCTTTCTGTCGCTCTGACGACGTGCCACATAAAGGGCGCGCAGAGGACGGCTTATCATCATTCTACGGGCGAAAATCCTTTGCATTCTTTTTTTCTTTTTTTTTTTTTGCAAAGAAGCCTTTTGCGACGGTTTTCCTTTAAATCCCCGTCGAGATTTCTCCCTTTGTCACGCCGACGAGTAATTGGGCGTCGATCTGCGTGCTACTGAAAGAAGCGCTTTTGCGCTTTTCCACTAATGCTCATGTGCGCAGAGGCGTTGTCCTTGAAAATTGTCGATTAATTAGCTCGAATATTCAATAATCAAGCGAGAACAATGGAATGACGATGACCCCTCGCTCGAAAAGTCGTCCCAAGGGTGCGAGAACACCAGCTCCACTGTCTTTTCCGCATGGGAAATGAAAAAAAACAAAGCGTCGATCGGCTTTCGGAGTGGCCAACTCTCTGGTTTCACGTAGATGATATCCGCGTGGTTGAGCGTATTAAACCGGCTGTTGGCCACCGCATCGCTTCGGGCGATACGTGCGCAACCACCCCAAGTCTAATGATCTCTGCCACCCTCTTCCGCGCTGTGTTGTGACGCGTATCAAGTCCGATCGATGATGAAACGTTCTCGCGATGAGCACTTGCGTTTGTTGACCCCGACTACCTGTGAATTATGCAGTTGGCGCTCAATTTTCCAGCGATAAAAAATGCGGAGGCCGTAAAATTGTCGCGGCGACATTGTGCACACTCGGCGTAATGGGAGGCACAGCCGTCGCCAAGACATTATCAAGACCTCACCCTCGCCTGGCATTCCGCGCGGGCGCCCAGCGTTACACGCGCACACAACACACGCGTATCCCCCGAACGTCCGCGTGAGATTTAAAATTCAAGCGAGACAATGAAGGTGCGCGACGGGAGCTTCTCTCTCCCTCTCTCGCGAATCGCTCGTTTCATGCCTCGCGCCCACGCGAGCCTTTAGTTATGCAAGGACTCGACAGCGAACCCATTGTCGCACTACCGCGTAAAAAATGCTTTATATATATATACACACACATATGATAGTGACGCGAGCCGGAGGGAGCTCGCTTGTTTATAAGCGCTTCGCGACGTATAATGCGATTTTATCGCTCTGCGCTCGCCTATGCGCGCACGAGCCATTGTCCCTCGCGCGCTCGCGTCTTAATTTCCAAGCGGAGGCCCTCGCAACGAAGTTTCGCAGGTGCACGAGATAAGGCCCGCAGTTGTCAAATGGCTAAATCGGCGAGAGCTCGGGCGGCTTTCAATTGCAACTTGCTACACGTCCTCGGCAAGCCGAGCAATTACACTTGAGCGCCGATTCACTCTGATTCGCCTGCTTAGAGCGGCCCGACGAGCAGCTGGCATTCGGCGCAAATAGCTCGCTCGTACTTTGCAAAGACGGGATCCCCGTGTGCGCCGTCGAACTTGGCGGGCTCGTTGGCCGTGCGCTTCGTATGCGGAAGAGATGAGCGCCGAAAGAATGATACGCGCCTTGCGGAGGCAAGCCGCGAACAGCTATACGAATAGGAATATGAGCCTCGCACTACGTGCACGAATGTGGAAGTAGCGCACGGGCAGAGCAGGCGAAGCAGCCATCTACGTCCCGCACCCCCGTATCGCGCAGATGCATGGGCCGATCGTCGCACGCGAAAAAGCGGGGATATAGAAGTGCATCGAGCGCCATTAAGAGAGAATATATACGTATACCACGGCTCCCTCCATCGTCCATCTTTTCTCCGCCCTCTCTCTCTCTCTACGCTTCGCTCGCCCGATCGATCCTCGCGCCGGCGCGCAAATGTCGTCTCTCTATCTCTCTCCTCCCTCCCGCGCACACGTATATCCCCGCTTATTTCTCGTTTTGTAATTGTTTTCTCGCATCGCACGCGCGATACACGCTCGTGCAATCGCGCTTGCTCGTCGCCGTCGTCGTCGAACGCGCGCGCGCGACACGAGCTGCCGATGGGCGGGGGGAAGTCGCTCGCGCAAAGTGCGCGCAGCGTGGTCTTTTGGCGAATCGGTATAGTATGCGCGCGCGCGCGCCTCTGTCGCCGTTCGCTCATCGTCGCCCGTCGAGGCGGCTGAGAACTTCGACTTGGTCGTCGTGGCTAAACTCGCTCGGACGCGCGAACCGCCCGAGGACGGATCGCCACCACGTGCTCGCGCGTCGGAGAACAGACGCGGGAGGACCCGCGAGCGAGGGGAGGAAAAAAGAAGAAGCAATCGCGCGCCAACGTAATATCCATTTTCTCCGCCTACGCGGTAGCAGGCGCGTGAGGGTAGTCGTTTGCGATCGCGCGGGTGTGAAACGCGCGCGTCCTCTTCTTTTATATTCCTTTTGTGCGCGCGTTTTATATACATGCGCGAAAGAAGAAGAAGAAGAAGGGACGTCAAAAGAGCGCGTGCGCGCGATGACAAGAGAAAGAGAGAGAGAGAGAGAGAGAAAAGGGGTTGAAGTGGGCGGAGATAAAGTATATATCGAGCGGAGGGAAGAGAGAGCGAGAGAGAGAGAGCTTTCATCCTAATGAAGTATTTTCGCCTAGGACGCAAGCGCGCATGCCTTTCCAGACTCTCGAACCCAAAGAAACCCACTATAAGGCTTTTGTCATCCGCTCGTATACCTCGTTTTATAGAACCTTAACTAATATCGAATTCGTATACGCGCGAGTCTCTTCCTCTCGATTGCTCCCGCGCTCGCTCTCTGCGCTGGGATAGGGGCGATTTCTTCTTTTTTTTTTTCCTGCAAGGGATATTTTCTATTTGTCATTTTCGTGATTGGAAAGTATTTTCGTCGATGGGTAGCAATCCAACTTTCATTTTACATTAGTAATCGAACGTAAAATTTCCAATTGGTTTTACAATTTGAAGGGGAACCATAGTGTTCGCGAAATTTATGTCTTTACCTTGATGAAAATCCAAAATTGAGAATCGTGTTAAATTGAACATTCATTTTAATTTCGTCGTGAAAATTTCAAATCCATCTGCCTTTCCATCCGATTCCACGCGACAAAAATTCAACATACGCCTTTCGCGTATGGACAAAAAGAAAACATTTTCTATCTCATTTCACGCCCACACTCGAGATTTCGCCTAGAGAAAAAAAATATATACGCACAGAGTGCAAGAGCACTTAAAAAACTGCTTGTACTAACGACGAATGCTAAAGTACGACACAGAAGAGCTTCTCTCTTACTCTCGCGGTGGCATGAAAATCCACGAACTTACCTCGCGCGCCCGGGGAACGATTATTTTTAATTCCGCGTAGTAGTATGCGCGAGTGAAAGAGCGCCTGGGAGAGATAAAGAAAGCGGCAAAAAAAAAAAGGAAAAACAGAGAGGGATGATGGTGTGTGACTCGTAGCTCGTGCTCCCAAGACTTTTTACTTTCTTTTTTTTCTCTGTGCAGTTGTCGAGTTTTTTTTTTTTTGTACGCCCGATGCCGAGAAACAAATGCTACCTTTTGCACATTCCCACATTCTAATCGCACGTCAGGATTATTATTATTTTTTTTTTAAACAACGGCTTCTGTCGAAATATCATGATTATATCCGAGATTTTCAGCCTGCTACAATGAAATCTGCAGACTTTTTAAAACTGTTCACTAAGTCACTTCATTCGGTCTAAAATCTCATTGTCTTCACGTTAAAGTCGTGCTTCGCGCAGGCATTGTCCCATTGATTATTGTTTGTTAGAGCCGGTTCTTCCTCTTCTTTTTGCTCCGTGCCATTCTTTTAGCTTTACGTCTCTTCTCTCTCTCTCTTTCTTTCTTGCTGTCTTTGCCAGAGTACAGAGGGCTAATTATGCCGCATTGATTGGCGCACTGCACCTGCAAGCTGCCTGCTAGTTCTTACCTTTGTGCCTCATTATTCTTCTCATCTCTTCCTTTTTTCCTCTTTGCGCGAGCTTAATGGCTCTTTCAAGCGGAGCTTTTTTTGTTGCCGACGCGCGGTGCACTGATTATATTTTTCTTTTCTGTTTTGCGAGAAGCGAATGAATGAATATCTCAACGGTAATTTTTATAAAGTGAAATGCTCTTTTGCCTTGGCAGGAAATAAAAATTTGACGCTATCGAATTATGTATATGGGCAGGTTATTTCGGGAATGCAGCCTAAAAACGGTCCTCATTCACTCGTAAAGTCTGCCTAAGAACAATCACGCGTAGCGAGTTGAAATCCGTCGTAGCTTATATATCCGTTCATCCCGCTCCCGAAGGGCTTTTTGTGTTAGAGAGCCAAGTGCGATGCCAAACAATGGCCGCTCCGATAGAGCCAAGCCAACGAAAGTCTTGGTCGTCGTCTCTCTGCCTTCATCCATTAATTAACAGGCTTTGTACTTTTTAAACGATGTTAAATAAACGGCATTGTCCGATGCCGGGGAGAGAGGCGGCCATTATGGCTTTCGAGTTCGGAGGTGAAGGACGAGGAAAAAGACCAGACCAGCTCCATTGTTCTAAGCAAATATTCTCGCGCCTTTATCCGCGCTTTTCTCTCTCTCATTGTTTACCTCCGTTTTACTTTTTTATTTCAACAGTCAACTATGTATTAATTTATATATATATATATATATATATATATATATATATATATATATAGGTATACATACACTTGGCTTTTTGCGTATGAAAAGGCCGCCGCTCTCGGCATGAATTTTTCAGGATCGAATTCGTAATTACGCCGCGTACTTCCGGCTGACTGTTGGTTCTTTTCGTACGCGCTCGGTGACGATTGTCTACTTTGTTGGGCGCCAACTTTTGTCCAGGTGTTTGAGCGCTTGTCGCGAAACTTTATGTCAAACGTTCTCCCATTTTTTGGCATTCTCTTTAGCACCCGCGTGCAAGAGTCCATGAACCAAGTGCGCTTACTCTCTCTCTCTCTCTCTCTTTCTCTGCGTTTGCTAAACAATGCACACTTTTGCACTAGACGCATAACGAACGTGCAAAGAATTATTCAACGATATTTAATCAAAGACATTTTTATGCCTCTAATCATCCTCTGTCGCAAGTGCACAAAGGAGGGCTTGCAAGAACAATCGAAGCCGCGATTACGCGATATGGCGCGCGATAATTTGGAGCGGCAAAATAAAATCGGGCATGCGCGTATGCGCGAGACAAAAGCTCACAACAACGAGAGGCTGTAACCATCGCTCTCTCTCTCTCTCTCTCTCTCTCTCTCTCTCTCTCTCTCTGTTAAATTGGATTTTCACTGCTGCTGCGTGGTATAAAAAGCTCGCGCGCGCGAGCGCTTGGATCATCGCGCCGCGGCACAAATGGAGTATTATGAAGAGAGAGAGAGAGAGAGAAGACCGGATGCCGCCGCTGGCAACACGAAATTTTCTATGGTTACGTAATAAAACGGCGCCTTTTGTGATTGGCGTTGATCGATCCCCCCCCCCCCCCCCCCCCCATTCACCACGCGAATGCTCACAATGTCACACTTTCGAATACACATGAAACAATGCCACATACTAAATCGGTTATTCCATCGTTATAACTGATAACGTTTGTTTGACGTTATCAATGGATTACATTGAAATAATAGCATTGTCGACACACAGCCGGTAAGGTTATTTCACCGCAGGGCTTCTCGCATAATGCCTCCTCGTCGTCGCTCGTAAAGTATTTTTACCTCGAAATCCTTTTCAGCTTTGCAGTATATATACACGGCATTCAATATCGTTTTGGATTAAATAATGCGGGCGCGCTTTTCAGTGCGATTCTATTATCGCGCCGTGACAAACGTGAATATAATCGTCGAGAATTATGAGCATAATGAAGCCTCGCTATCCGAAAAAACATCGCGAAAACTACGCGTTCGCACTTGAGGCTTCTGCTCGCAATCCTTTTCTCCGACTCCATCGGAGCGTCACGCAAAAAGCTGCAGATCGCCAGGCAAGAAGAAGCGACTCTCTGATGAAAAAAAAAAGACTGACTCGCACACACGCGCGCGGAGGTTTCATTATCTTGGTGGCATTGTGATGCGAGAGAGTCGAGCGCACGGAAACTGGAAATCCCGAGGATCGCTAAACTCCGTTTTGTGCGCGAGACAGAGCCTCGCATTGTTTCTTCGCGAGAGCAGGTCCGGGGCAACTTTTGCCCCATTGTCACTGTGTGTGTGTGTGAGTGCTGTATAACAGTAGTAGCACCAAGCGCAAGCTCTCGCTTGATGCTCTGGCTCACTCTCGACACGATTGCCCGTGTATACACTCACTCGTGTGTGCAGTCGTGCACGCATCGCGCGCGCTTCTCTCTGTCACGTATTGTCGCGCCTCGTTCTTCTTTTTTTATGATTTTTTTTAATGCCGCTAAGTTTTTTTTTTATTGCCGTTTGTCCCCTTTTCTATTCTCCTGCTCCTGCGTAGGTTACTTTTTGAAATCCCGTTGGAAAATATAATTTTAATCATAGCATTTGAATATTCTTTGGGCACACGAGAGAAAGGAAATATTTTACGTGTCAGAATTTGAAAGAGCTGCCTGCGAAGGCAATCGGGGAGAGTCTTCATTAAATAAAAAGAGGAAAGTGTAACCGCACGCACACAATAAGCGTACTCATCCGTCAAAGCTTCGCTCTCCAGCAGCAGAACGTCTTTTCTTGTGGGGCGCGTCGAGACCACATCAATTTTCGTGACAATTAACCAAATCGCCCAGTTTAGATTACCAAATCCTATTATCTCTGAGCGCGAGATTAAGACTGCCCCGGACAATAGGATTCTACGCGTCGGCATCGTCGTCGTCGTCGTCGTCGTCGTCGTCGTCGTCGTCGAGGGTTGCATTGTGTATCGCGTGTATGTCCGGTGTACAAACGAGATAGTACTTTGCTTTCGCTTTACTGCCGTCAGGCAAGGCAGAAAAGAAAGCGAGCGAGCTCGCGCGAGGGGCGATATAGAAAGAAACGAAAGATCCACGCGGAGACAATGAGAAGAAAGGCGAGATATATAGAAGACGAGCTGCTGCTGCTGCTGCTGCTGCTGCAAGGTGAGTTCTAACGAGCGAAAGACAAAAAAGCCTCGCGGCATCACAATAACCCAGCGAGAAAAGAGATATATGCGTGTGAGACAATGACTCGGCGCAAAAATACATCGAGCGAGCAAAATATCTCGGAGAAACATTGTACGAAAGCCCGTCCAGTTTATTAATGGGATTTAAATATACTAGTCGTTTCTTTTCTTATCGTCGCTCCTTTGGCAATCGAACCAGACTTACCAACGAAATTTCAATAATTCAACAAGAGACTTTTGTCAGCACGACGCCGGCGCAAGGTCGCTTCGTAATTGTCTCGCTGAAACTGAAAACTTGCGTATCCTTTTCATATGGCAATTTTTTTTCTTTTTGTCGTGACGAACAATCGCTCGGGTAAATGCGCGTCGTGTTTCCGTTGCACATAGTTTGCGTGACACACCGACTGTTTCGGGGGTGGATGAGAACCTCAAGACTCATTTGCTCTCTCTCTCCCTCTCTTTTTCTCGCGCTAAAGGGAAAATTCAAATTGCGAAAGGGTTGATGGCATTGATGGGCCTCTTTGTTGCTCAGGGGAAGCACGCGTTGCTGCGCGGTGGTGGTGCTTTGGCAACGTTTATAAGACTCCTCCTCTAGCGATTGTTGCTAGAGTCTTTTCGCGTTTGGTGAATGATAACCGTTTAACATGAAGATTCTTCGACAAGCGTTTGGCTCTATTAGAATTTAAATTCATTTTAATAAATGTAGGACGTTTTCTATCGTTAGAAAGTTGACGCAGCTGCGCAAAATTGGATCTGATCGTTCACATCGTTCGAGTAATAATTAATATCCGCTAAAATGCGAGCTTTATTCCCCGTCGTCAGAATTTAATTTGCCATACACGTATCCACTCAAATTTCCTTTTCCCGTTCATTGTTAATCAACTCTTTTGTACACGTACAATCGTCTTTAGCCTTGTCTTTTTCGCATTTATCACAATGACCACGCTTATTATTTCCGTCGAAAACGCACCAAAAGTATTCGATCCATACAGCTCGTCGCGAAAATGCCGAGTAGAGTTGAAAGTGAAATACGTATAATCAGGTGGTATCTCAACAATAATCAGAATTCATACACTCGTGTAAAATTCCCTGATGTACGCGAATGCCGAATCCACTACTAGCGACGACGTACGACTCTACTCTAGTTGCACAATATCGCTCTAATACCCCGGTATGCGGCATGTTTTCCTCTCCCGTCTCCGCAACTGCACGCAGTTCCATTCGATTGACCTCCGGCCAGTGTTCTACAATGTTGCGTTCGTCGTTTCGTATGTACAACGCGCAACTTGGTAATTAATTCTTACACTCCGGGTGAAAGAAAAGAAAAAAAATCGCACCTCTCTTGTTCAACGTGTACGTGCTTTGGTATTGTACGCGTTAGTTTTTCATGTTTCTTTTTTTTTTGTTTTTTTTGTCTGCTCTGTCAATCGCCACTGTACGTACGTATGTATTTTCGTTCGCGAGCGCATCTATGACGCCTTGTTTTTTCGTATTGTCAGCGCGACAATGGGAACTTGGAGCTGCACAGACAAGAGAAAGATGAGGCGACGAGTGTCTCCAATTGAATAGGCTCTAATATTAGGTAAATGCCATGCGTTTACTTCTCTCCCTGTCTCTCTCTCTCTCTCTCTCTCTCTCTCTCTCTCTCTCTCTCTCTCTCGCTCTGTATTTGCTTTAGCTCGCGAGGCTAGCTCGTATCCTATTGTGCTGAAGATTTCCTTCTTTTTTCTTCTTCGTCTGCTTATCTGTAATGAAGGAAATTTTTTTTGTATCCGCGTTGAATGAGCCGAGAAAGAGTTTCCCGTTCCGTTGCTTGGTTGCTCCCATTGTGCCGTTTATTTGTTCTAGTTTCCTTTTTTTTTGGTCTTACTCAAACATTCGGAATAGAATGTACAGTGTCTGTCGTGTTCATTGTTATTATTTGTAACTGCTGATGAAATTGGGGCTGACATACTTATATTAATACTTTCGTGTATATAAACTGATCTCAATGAATGAAACTCTCTGCGTTAAATAAAAAGTCGGAAATTCCTTAATTATGTCAGACAGATACGAGCTCAAAGTGATGCCCATTCCGATGATCCATTTGCCGAATCTCACAGCGTCACCCTCTACCGAAAATAAGTTATCTCACCGGGAGAGAGAGAGAGAGAGAGAGAGAGAGAGAGAGAGAGAGAATCGCGTAGAATGTAGTGGACTGCGTTTGAAAGAGAGAGAGCAAAAGAAGCGCAGAGTCGCGGAATCCATTAGCTGCGATCGCTATATCGATGAAACTCGGACAGAGGGGCTATCCATTACGTATGCCCTTTTCAAATGCAAACCTATCAATCTTCTTTGTCCGAAAATGCGCACGAATGGCATGTCCGAAAGAGGAAGATGAACGAGGGAAAGAGGTCTATTTTCCCTTTGGCGCTCGCGCGGCAACGGACATTCCAAATCTTCAATTCTGTTTGCAAAAGTCGACATTCCAAATAACGGCCACGAATGGATTACTAACGCGGCGCATTCGTTTGTATTTTGCAGGCGCGGAATGGAAATTGTTAACGGAGGACGAGAAGCTGCCTTTCATCGACGAAGCCAAGAGGTTAAGGGCCATGCACATGAAAGAGCATCCGGACTACAAATACAGGCCACGAAGAAAGCCAAAGACACACAGAAAAGACAACTATCCGTACAGTATTCCCTACCCAAGTGTACCTATGGATGCTTTAAGAGCAAGTAAGTTGCCATCAAATTTTATTTTTCAAGTCTTTGGAACGCACGTGCCAAAAATCCATAAACGCATTCGGGAGTAACGAGTCGTAGAGAGAGAGAGAGAGAGAGAGAGAGCACGCGTGCGAGAGAGAAGGGTAAGACAATCCGATAAATAATAAGCTGGCCGACAGGTTTATGCCCCCTCGCGTGCCAGTAACCGATGCATCCTCGCGGCGGGCGAGTCCGCGGGATATTTACGCGCGACGGGTCCTTAATCGGGTTACACTCTGCCGATTTATTGCGTCGTCGTAAATAATTGTTTTTTTTCCGTTTTACTTCTTTTCTGCTGGCTTTCTTCTTTCAATTCGCGCGGAACATTCCCTCTCTCTTCTCGAGTTTATTTTCGACTCAATGGAAATTACGTGACCCGCGCACTTCGAGTCACGTAATTGGCATTAAATTAACGCTCGATGACGCTACGCGCGTGCGCTACGAGCGCGCAGTGAATCACTCTTGTTTGCTTTGGTCCGAAGTGTATACGTTCCGGCGGGCATTCTGTCAAAATTAGAGTTTTAAGCTGACTTCTGCGATTTTCCCCGGAATTCGGGCAATTATACACGCGAAATTAATTAAAAGCAATGATCGGGCAACGGGCGTTTAGCGAGCGTAAAGTCGTTAAGTCGAAAATCCGTGAGCGCGCGAGCGCACTGAAAACGTTTACAAAAGCACCGCCGTGTATACGTCGCATCATTAATCCCGTCAACTTTTAATTGACAACGACTGGCTGCTGCTGCTGCTACGCGGCCGATGAGTGCTTGCGCGATTCAGTGCCAATCAATTTAGCCCCTAATTACCCGTGCACTTGACGGGCCGCTGCCGGCAACGAAGCGGCCCAACGATAATCAAGATCAACAGCGATAAAAATGCTCTCTCCCTTGTGCGCGCACAGAAAGAAAGAGAGAGAGAGAGAGAGAGAGAGAGCAATAAGTGTGCAATGCCATGCGGCACATACTTGAGGCGTAATTGAGAGGCCCGCGGGCTCCTTTTCAGCGACCCTCCTTTTTTTCCTTTCTCTTCTCGCAATATCCTGGCTTATCTTTTATTCTCGCACAATCACGTGCCTATTGTTTCGCGTGCGCGCACGTATCTCGAATCGGTAATTTCGAACACGGCGAGTGGTGACAGTCATTACTAATCTCGACGAAACAGCTATTTGATTGAGCCTTTGCAACTGCCAATTTCCGGATATCGAGTATTTCTTTTTTTTTTAACTCTTTGCAATAAATGATTGCCAGTACAAGATGATTAAACGAACTCAAACGACAACAATCAAGCAGTTTCTTTAAAATCGAATCTGATTAATGATCGAACATACCTCTTTGAATATCACGATCGATCAAATAAAAAATTCAAAACTTACAAGCGGACAATAGTTACCTTATCAAGATATATTTTATCTCGCTAAATGAAACAATGGCCGTACGATGCAAAAAGAAAGGGGAAAAAAGGAGAGAGCGCGCGCGCAGCGTAGGTTTTGACAGGGAGCCAAGCCCCTGGAAGGGAGATATCCCGAGGATTGCGTAACGCGAAATAAAGCGCTGTGTTCCGAGACAATGGAAAGGCAGCGTACAGCAAGCGAATCCGTGTAAACGACTCGCCTACTATTATGCACGTGGCATCTGTTCGACAGATGCACGCGCTAATTGCGAAGTGAACAGCCGATTGCGCGCGAGCCTAAATATTTTGGACGGATGAATCGCTCGCGCTGCTTTTTCCCTGAGAACCGCTTGCGTCTAGCTGAACTCCTGTTTCTCGCGTGAGCGAGCGCGAGTCGATTGTCAAACGGCAGTTGCCGAGTCGACGCGCGCTTATCGTTGCAATATGAATTTGTCGGAGTGACAGTGCACTTTGACTTATTGGACAAAGGACGTCTTAATGTGTAGTATTATTCCGACAGTGTTGGATTACAATGATGACAGCGTGTCGAGAAAACTTCCCGTCGAAACACTGAATATAAGCCAAGGCTGAGTGTATAGTGGTACGCAACGTAATTATCCGCAGTACAGATGCGTCTCGCGAGTTGTTATTACTAGTGGCGCGACAATTCGCCTTCCATTCGCTCTCTTAAGTAGTCAAAGATAAAATTGGTCAGACATAATTCCAACTGCTTTCGGAACAATAGAATTTGCGGTGTAACCTACAACGATCCTCAGTTTGAAAAGCTGCTAGTGTGGTCCCTCTTTCTTTCAACTTCAACATTATGTGTGTTTATTTTTTTTATTTATTTCCTTCTTTTTTTTTTTCACGCACGGTGGTCATAAATCTCGCCAGGTCTCAACGCCAATCAGCTCGAGAGCGCGCGCGAGCCATAAATGACACGCCGTCGATTGATTTGCTCGAATGACTCAGGCGCGCAGCCTTTTTCTTCCGTACGGGGCTTTACATTTTTTTCTTTCTCTTTCCCGCTCATCGCGCGTTCTTTCATTATGCAAATGTTTTCTCGGAGCGCCAAACAGCTCGAAACGAGCGCGCGTTGCGCCGACTGCGACGAAGGAAACGATGCTCGCAGCTGTAAAAATACATAACCAATTGGATCGAAACTGAGGCTGGAGAAAGGAATCTAAATATAAGCTAATCATCCGACTGATTGATCTGTTGCAGGCATGCCAGGTGGAATCGGCCAGACAGCAATGAGCTCGTATTACGGCTCGGCAGCGGCCTACGGATCATTCTCAAGCGTGGCCGCGGCAGTAGCAGCCCAGCAATCGGCAGCAATGTCCGCTGGACTCACCGCGCCTGCACAGGTCAGTGCCTTCAGCGACTTTTCTCTCTCTGGTCAATCCCCCCCCCCCCCCCCATTTTTTTTGTCCGGCTTCCGCTCCTTTGCGGTCGCGACTTTTTCTGTATAACTTTGACGGGGCCTTGAACTCTCGCGTGGGATCGCGACCACACGTTCGAGGATCGTACGAACTTGGCTACATAAAGCTTCCGCGCGAGTGAAATTTGCTCGTTTTCTCTCTCGGCACGGTGGTAACCAGCCGAACGCGTGTCGGAGAGCCAGCAGCAACCTGCCGCTAATGATTCTCGAACGACACGCTCGCGCGGGATTCGCGATGCGCGTCTAACTACCTGCCGTCGCGAGCGCCTTTGTCGCGGGCCACGCGCGACGCGACGCACAGCGTGAGCTTGTTTGATCAGCCGCGCCTGCACGAGCGGTACTTCCTTCGGCGATGCGCCCGTTGACGCTTGTTTCTCCTCTCTTCCTCGTCGTCTTTTCTCTCTCGCGCGTCGAGAATCACGAAGCGCATACGCCGAGTCTCGCGACGCTAAGACAGTAGCGTTGTAACACCACGCGCGATAATCATAATAATCAATTGGACCGCGTGTATTATATCCCGCGGGTGTAAATCATCGCCGACAAAGCGGCTTAACGACCCGACAAAAGACCCGAGCCAAGTCGGATAACTCTTCGCTCACGCCCAGGCGAATACTAGGAATACACGAGCGTCTCTCTCGCCTGTGACTCCCTTCGTCGCTGCACCTCTTTTACGATCTTAGCGCGTGCGCCAATCCACCGTCATTTCAGTTGTCTGGATCGCGTTCTACTAAAAGTCGTCGAGTTTCGTGCTGACGGGCTATATTCGGAATCGGCTGTACTCAACGGAGAACGAACCGCGGAACGTATTCGCGGAAGAAAAACTGCTTTCATTCCATCAGCGGTTGTAGTTTCGCAACACTGCCCTGCGGTTTATTATATATGCCAGGCAGTTCGCAGATATTTCAGGAACTATTATAGCTATCTACCGTTAAGGATCCTCGAAAGTAACCCACCCACAAAAAGAAACGTTCCAGAACGTATATATAACATTTCTCGGTAGAAAAAAATAATAAGAAGCGCCTCGACCTTCGAATTTGCGCGCTGGTAGATATAACGTCGAAACGGTAGCCATACTCCGGAGGCTGAGGGGCGTGTCGAGTTATTAGCGCGCAGAGGGAACGGAGGAGGTAAATATAGCAAACGCGTGCGTCGAGGAGATTTATAACGAGAGGCAATTAATTCGTCGGCGCAGCGCGCCGGCTATGGGCAAAACTCCCTCAGACGGAAGCCCTCTCTCTCTCTCTCTCGACTCCTTAATCTGACGGTCCCTATATATATTTATACGTAGGTATCTGCGATCGGAATCTCCCGGCGATAAAATAAAAAAAAAAGAGCTCAGGTGCGCTCGTTAGTCGCGCACTTGCGTTTCGTAGCTAGTGTTGCCTCTCTTTTTTAGGGACTAACAGCCAGACAATGGTTGTTTTATTTATTTATTGGTCACGCGAACGGATCGTTTTGAAAGCGTAGTGACGGACGATGTTATTGAACTGCCGTTTAGAAAGGCAGAAAACGAATCGCAAGAGAAGGCAAAGCTAACAATTTGTTTTTATCTTTGCCAGTACGCGAACAAACTTACGAGATGAGTCGATGAAAAAAATAAGAGGGAGTCGATAACAGAAGCTCCATAAGGTTACGACAGCGTGCTCGTGCGACTGCAGCTCTCTCGCGCTGCCAGTTCGTCGAGTGAGAAGCAAAGCGCGTTCGTCGCCCAAGGCGAGATATAGTTGAATGTAGCGCGCAGGTGCTAAAGGTTCGTTTTTACAGGTGTGCGCGCATTGCGACACTAACACGCGCGTGCAAAGCTCTCTAGCCGCGGGATGCCGAGTAGGAGCCGAAGCTGTGGGCATAATTTACGCATAAATTTAGACGTGACCGAGCCGAACGTAAATTGTCACCTCCACAAAGGACTTTTATATTAGCGCCATTTCTCACGTTTTCGTTTATATTCCTTGCGGAGCTATACTTCTCTGATATCCTTTTATGTTGGAGCTGAATTTATAATTGGCGTACGCGCGCGTTCTTTTCGCGGATTAAAGCATTTTTCGGGGCCTTTTTTTCTGATTTATGCATCGCATACCTGCATATCGAAATCGCGTCCAGCAGTAAAAACGCTATTTTTATATAGACAAGCGCTATCACCGAGGATGTAGGCGAATAAAAAATTAATTAGGGTTGGCGCGCGTTCGTTTATTTTGTTGCTGCCGTGCGCGAATTCAAGGAATTCCGCTAGCGCACCCTTCTTTTCTCGTTGCAAGAACTTTGTTCCCTGTTCGTTTTCTCAAAGAAACTTTCGCTCGTCTGATTGCAGTTGAGTTCGATGGACGCGATGAAGTACACAATGGAAGCAGACAAATACAGAGCGGCGTACATGCCGCCGTCGACGTTAGCGATGTCGATGTACTCGGATCCCAAGTATCTGGACTCGACATCGAAGTCGTACCTGGATCGCAGCTACCTGGACTCCGCAACGAAAGCTTACTTCGAGCAATCGAAACTCTACATGGACCAGCAAAAATCGTCCTCCCTGCCAGACTACAGCCGTCACTCGAATTACGAGCCGAACAAACTGTACGAGGAATCGAGTCCGGGCAACGCGGGCAGCGGCTCGTTAAGCCGATCGCCCGCCGCCGACTCGCCCGACGGCTTGGCGGCGGCCAAGAGTCAAAACAACAGCGGCTCGTCGTCGTCAGGTAACAACGACAACAACAACGCCGGCTCGTCGTCGGCCAGCTCGTCGTCGGCGTCGACCTCGAGCCCCGGCGCGGCGAGTCTGTCCAGCTACTACCCGGGCGCAGCTCAAGCAAGCCTGCTCGCACCCCAGATGAGTCAGTACACCGGCTATCAAACGGCACCCGGCGCGCCGGGCAACGAGTTCCGTAGGCCGCTCACGGTCATCTTCTGACCCGATCGGGCCTAGCTCTGAGCCATGTTGCGACAAGAGCCCCAACTCAAGTACTAAATTATTGCAGTCCGCGTTCGTTCCTTTCTTTCAACAATGTCCCGCCCAAGGATTGCTTCACTTTGCTCGACTGTTGTCCAAATGCCTTTGTTTTTTTGAGCAAAGTTCAATCGCACGGCTTGACTGTGTTTCCTTCTTCATGCTATAAGTTTCATAGTTGATGTGCCATTCGGAGGCCTCCAAATTTCATGGATATTACGCAAGATTTTATGTTTGAAACCTACCATTCGGATCCAAGACATTTTCAGCGTGTTAAGTTTATCAGATTATAAAGAAAAAACCTGTAAATTTGTAAGAGCAACCTATTTGTAAGCGCACTGTCATAACCAAATTTCTTTTATCGTCTATTTATTTAGGACCTCGTGTCATTTCTCCTTTTGCTTTGTGTTTTTTCAACAAAAATGTATCGTTTTTAATTAGAAGGAAGTCACCGCGAAAATTGGACTTCCTTTACGGTATTGTGTTCCTAACGATTCGACCGACGAGTCATTTCGATTATTTCGCTTAAAACCCGAACGAATCTCGGCCTTTCCAGTATAATTTTTCTTTTTCTTTTAGTTTTTAGCTGTTATTTAAGTCTTCATTTCTTCTTGTTTTTACCCCTTTTTCGGCTGTATTAATTATACCTTCTTTATCCTATCTCTTTTACCATTTCCATTTCTATCTCTGAGATCGAGCTTCATCAATAAAAACGTCTCGACGGTCCCAATAGTTTATTATTAAAAAAATTTTAAAAAAGAGAGAAAAAAACATACAAGTTGTAAATAACTCAAAATATTTGTAAATAGAATTAGCTAAGCTAAGAATCTGTCCGTGAAGAAAAAACGAAAACTGGATCTAGTTAATCTTACGTTCGTAGACGTAGACTTCGAGTTCGATTACATAAAATAAATATTGTTAAGTTTTTTCCGTTTCGTCTGAATTCGAAACGAAAAGGCATGTTGTGGACCACGTTATAATTGCCGTTACTATCCTTCGTTGCGTTTCGTTGGTATTATTGGATTGCCGTTATTATTTACAAAGCGCATCCATTATGAGTTTTTGTATCGGAAAGCTAACGAGAAGAATATTGTACATTGAGGGAGAAAAAGGTCGGTGTTACTGTGTAAACATTCTAGCGAATCAACGAATCAAGCGAGGAAACATTTTCCTCCGCAGCGTCCTACGATTTAGCTCAAAGTAAATTTTCTTGTATATAGATGAAGCCATCTCGAGGTGTCGTTCGCGCTTTCATTGCCATCGCTGATAGATTTTCAATGTTCTAATTGCCAAGAGACTCGCAATCCCTCCATGTTCTTTCGCTCTCGAATGCGGGAAAATGCGCTCGATCTCTCGAAAGTTTCGATGGCAATGAAAGAACCTTAGATAAAGACAGGTAACAAGTTTACCTAATTTATTTACAATCATTGTCTGCACGAGATAAAGAGGAAGAAGACTCGTTTATTCTTTTCTTTCATTCGCTCGAGTCTCTCGCGATTCCCTTTCGAGGCGGCGACGCAGAAGAAGCAAAAAATAACAACAGAGCAAGGAGAAGAGGAGCGCGCTCTCTTTTTCATTTTGAAATCTCGAAACTAAGAAAAAAAAAAGAGAACGAAACGAAACACTCGCGTATATATACATATATGCGTAGGGTAAGAGAGAGAGAAATACGTCCAACTTCTTTTTTTTTTTTCGTCGTTGTCGTCCCCCCGCGTGACTCTGTCTCTTTCCGCCCCTTCGCGACTCTCCCCATTATTCACAACCTGGTGTAACCTTTGTATATCCATTGTTATGATAAACATTAAATAGTTCTACCGGTTACTCGATTATCATAGTCCGAGCGAAACAAATAATCTATAAATATTGTACCGTAAGTGGAGATTAAAATAAAAACTTAAGCATTATCCTCCCAAGAGCGAGCTGTTGTGTTAACTTATTTATTACCTTCATTCGCCATTCACCACCATACCTATTCATATCTCTCGTTGAAACGAAGCTGCTTTTAATGATGAGGGACAGATTTTTCGCACATCGTATTTCATTTTCATGGCGACTGAGCATTTCGCTCTTCTTCTAGGTAAGTGAAGTGTGTACGTATTATCTCTTTTTTTTTTTTGGCTTTGGAATAATTGCTGCAAATTATATTGGATCAAGTGTTCATTCCACACGCAACTGCCGCTTGATTAATTATCTCTCTTGCGGAATTTATCGCGTTCAGCATTATTCATAACGGCTTTGTGAATTATCGTGTCGACTACAAGGCTATGAATTATCTCGTACAAGGACGTTATTTGTGAAATCGAATAGCTCGCTGTAATTGAAAAAAATAATAAAGCCAGCGCGACGTACGAGTGCAAGTATCTCTATTGTCAGCTGGAAAATACAAATTTTAGCTAGTAATCTCCTTTGGATTTAGTTTACGGTTGAAATGTGCCCGCGACGATGAAAAACCTGCAACTCCTGACAATCAAAAGCTAGTCAATCAACGCGCAACACGTCTCCAATAACATCGACTACAAGAGCACGTCTTCGCGGAGAGACCGCATCAGGCAAATTCCGTTGTGTGTGTTGTGCGCCTGTGTGCGTGTGCCGCGCATTGGCGGTAGGGAATAGTAGATCGAGAAAGAAAGAACGAAACTCCCTCGGTTTGATGGATATGATTAAATCCATTGTGCGAGAAAAAGAGAGAGAGAGAGAGCGAGAGAGAAAGCCGGCGTGTGACACACAAGGGAACTACGTGAATCGCACGTAGTGTTCCAGCAATAATAATAAGCACAGTGTCTCACCTTTTTGGCTTAGGCTCCGATTCGTCTTCCGCGTCGCATATACCTATTCATCGTCAGAAAACGGTAGCAGCTGCTCCTCTCTGCTCGGAGGCGTCGTCGGTCAGCACCTCTCTCGCTTGCTCTCTTTCATTCACAATTTCTCTCTGCGCCGGGGACACAATGAAGGACTAGTTTAGGCGCGGGAAGAATGCGATTGTTGACTCGTGAAGGAATCGTGGATTCTTTCTCTTATTCTTCTTCTTATTCTACGCGCCCTATTATTCTAGCTCATTTTCTGCGACTACGCGCGCCGCTGTTTTTCAGCCTCGACCGTCACCTTTTATCTTCTAAGTTTCTTATTTCGGCGCATTCAGCCTTCAAACGCGGAAGGTCCGATATTATTGTTTCTCTCGGGCGTCGCCGTCCCGTGGCATTCCCATCGTCATGCGCCAGTTGAATGCAATTACGCTCTGCTCTGGACACTCCGGCCAATGAATCGCGTGATAGCATCACCCACGGGTCTTGAAACTAACGCCCGACTCTTTTAAAGACACAATTACAATGGTCGATCTTCTTGCGAGGCATGTGTTTCTGAAAAATCCGGCGATTTTCTGCGTGGCAATCTACTAAGCGCTTATTTTCTATTGTAATATGATAGCCTGAGGAATAATTAAACGAGATTCGCTATACGAAAAGGTATGCCAACATGAGCCAAGTTGTTACGCGAGGGTGGCTTTCGCTCGAAAGTCACAACGTCGTAGTTAGTCGGTCGACCAGCTCGACCTATTCTTTCTCGATTACCGGACAACGAGCTAAAGATCGCTTGGTGATTGTGGACAAACCTCGCGTGCTGACAAAAATTCTTTTAGATTGGCGGCAATTGCGCAACGTCAGGCCGAGATGAAGAGAACCGATTAATGCCACAATCCTCGTGGATAATAAATTTGAGAGGTTGATCTCATTAGAGGGCATTGTGTCGTTGTGAGGGCATACAGCCTCGGGAATCCAAATTATTCGAGATACGACTTAATCAACGCGCGTCAAAACTGTCCGCGGACTGCTTGACGCCAAGGAATGCGTGGACCCTCGAATTTTCGCTTTATTTCCGAGATTTCGTTGAGTCATTCGAATGTTTCGTGTCGGATTTCAATTTATTTCTCTATGGCTTTCTCTCTCTCTCTCTCTCTCTCTCTCTCTCTCTATCTCGCTCGACTTCCAATGAATTGAGCGACGCTAATAATATGAAGAATTCCAAACTCATTCACTTAGTAAGTATTTTTATTGTAGCGCTGATATAATTATAATTGCTTTATTTTAATCGAATTGTAAAGTTGACAGTACGAACTATTTAAAAATTTATTTTGTTTATTGTTTTTAAATCGTCATTGAAATCAAAAGAACAGTAATTTTCGTGAGTAACAGCGCGGTGATTAATATAGTTATGTAAAAAATAAATGAGTTAATATTATATACTTCCAAAACGTTTCTTAAAATAACGACACAAACTTGATACAATACCATTGATTTACTTTTACTAGTGATGCCTAGCGTGCTTCGCGCGCTCATTTTTTTTCCAACTTTTTTTAGTGTTCATTTTGATTCACGAATATAGATCAAAACTTTTATTGGCGAAATTAAAAATTCGAAAATTCTATGTTCATTTAATAGTCCTATGATTAGATATGATATATAGCCGACGATATTATTTATTGAATGATAGATATGCAGCTATAAACTCATGATTTAAAAATATTATTGATAAAGTTTTATATTTGCATCATTCGAAGTTCTGGGTTCAAAATTTATCAAACACTTTCAAAAACACAATAAAACTTTTAATATAAATTCTAAAAACATTATAGTTTTATAAGTACCATATTTCGGTAGACGTCCATAGTTGTAATTAGTGTATTTGTTTAAAATGTTCTGATGTTTTAGAAACTAAAGAAAGAAAGTCTAAATCACTATATAATATTTTATTGTGATAATATATAGATTGGTATCTTTTATTGCCTAAATTGTTAGTTCGGAGTTAAATTTTGGCATAGAGCAAAATTCAATTATTTTCTCTACCAAGATTTTATAAGTTGGTTTTGTTTTTGGGTTAGTATGATTAAATCGATCAATCCATATAAAATGTATACCGGCTATACTGATATACTTTTCCAACGTTTAATCATCTACGAAAATCTGCAGTAATCTTCCATGAGCGTGCATAACACACATGTATGGATGATTTTTGGCTATTTGGATGGGCCCAAAACACTTAGATTACGGGTTTTTCTTAAATTGGCAATCGTTCTACACATAGAATTGAGTTTTTTCCATATTTTCATGACGATAATGTATCAAATAATATATCAAATAATTATATCAAAATTTATTAACTATTAAAAAAAGATAAAAAATTGTCGAAAGGCATTTTTTTAAAAACTAATACAATTATAGAAATCAAATTTTTTCCAAAATACTTATAATTCTTTGCACTTTCAAAATGATTGCAATAATAAACAATAAAAAATTTTTTTTCGAAAGTTATTAACTTTTTTTGAAACAATTGCAAATATCTCATAAAATGTTTTTTTAATTCATGCCCTTACATGTTCTTGAGGGTTTTTTCTATCGGTCGGGTGACATTTTTACGCGAGTTCCCATGGAAAAAGTGCTTGTGATGGATAGGAGAGGGGTTAGAGAGGCTTGCTCGAAATGTTAGCATAAAGGGTGAAATTATTGGGAATGCGTTGGAATTATACCAATGGGCAGCGCAAGCAATGCCCAAAACTAGTTTTATATACTGTAGCAATAAAGATCACGCGATAATTGACATAGAATGAAGTGATAGGTTTAATATAGCTGAGACTATATCAAATTCAGTAGTGTTTCATACCTTCATTATCGTAAGTGATGAAGATATGTCGAGTCTCAAATATAAAAGACTTTCACAATCTTTTGAGTATGAAGTAAAAAGGGTCAGAAAATAATTTAACATCAATGAATATGAATAAATAAACAGATAAAATATTTTTAATGCGGCCGCTAAGTAATAACCATCGGTCTGAAGTCTAGTTAATCTCAGAAAGAAAATATTATCATTTATTTATCATATCGCATTTCTAAAAATATTCTATTTTCATGAATATTGAATAATCAAAAATACTTAAATCAATTTCAAATACATGAAAGACTAATAATAGTAATGGCTTGATGTAGTTTTATTTAAGATGAACCGAATAAAGGCCTAAAAGATAGCTGAGAGGTCGCATCGCCACCGTAAGCCGAGGCATCTTCTTCTAATTGGTGCTACACCTTTCAATAATTCGGGCACTTGAATTTTATATCCGATTTGTACAGAGAAAACCTTCAAGAACACATAGGAGCAAGAATTAAAAAAAAATACTTTTTGAGATATTTGCAATTGTTTTAAAAAAAGTTAATAACTTTCGAAAAAGAAAATTTTGTATTGTTGATGGTTGTAATTATTTTGAAAGTTTAAGACATTGTAAGTATTTTGGAAAAAATCCGATTTCCGAAACTAATTGTATTAGTTTTTAATTTAAAATATAGGCTTTCGAAAATTTTTCATCATTTTTCTTTAATTCTTAATAACTTTTTATATAATTAATATATCGACATGAAAATATGAAGAAAAAAAACTCACTTCTGTTCCCTTTTTTTATAAGAGGAGAATAACAAAATTGGAGACATTAGATACGCTTCGTACGCTCTCATCTTCTATTTCATTACTTGTCATACTGATTAGGATATTTAATGCAAATCATTTTTTTTTAAAGACGTATTTTTTAATTTTTTTAACAAAACACATATCACAGCGGAAAATGCGTATTAGTAAAACAATTCCAAATTCATGAGTTATCATATATCGAAAATTGCTATAAATAATCTTTAGTTCTTTTCAATATTCACTATATGGGTCAAATTACTATTAAACGTTTATCCTATTCTTTGAATAAAGATTGCGACATAACAACATTTATTACAATCTTACATATTCAAAATTAGATTATTGATTTATAATAGAAGATAATGAGAATTATTACAAAGTGTAACTTCCTGCTTTTACCAAACGATTTACTCGCTGCTAGTTTCATAAAATAAGTGATAAATGGAATTTTTACTACT